GGCGCGGGCGGCCGGCGCCCCCGCCTCCCCAACCGGCCCCCCAGCCAGCAGGGCAGAGCGGGGGCCCCTGTGGCACCCCCCACCTCAACTCTCACATTCCCTGCGCCCGCTCAGTCCCCAGGGGACTCTCAACACCTCACCTTTGCCCTGGTAGACCAGCAGCCCGTTTGGGCCCCGGAACTCAATGGTGTCCCCAATCTGCATGCTTTCCAGGTACTGAGACATCTTCCCTCCCGCGGGAAACTTGGGGTGGGTGTCCTTGAAGTACACCTGCAAGACACAGCCACCCTCAGTCCTCGGCCGGGGTCTCCAGGGCGAGCTCTTGCCCACACTGGGGGCAGTGCCACGCCGGAGTTCCGTGACTCGCTGTTGAGCGATCGCGTTCTGGGGCCCACTCTATGGCGCCATGGTAATGCGCTACTGAAGAGAAGCCAGGGCTAGCAGTGGCTCGATGGTTTAGGTGCTGGACTCCCACATGGCCAACTGTAGTTCGAGTCCTGGACCCGGAGGCTTGAAAATCACACTGGGGGTGTGTGTATACTTGCCGCAAATCCCAGAGAGGGAGGAGAGGGAACTGCAGCATGGTCGTCCCCCCACTGCAGGGGTGATCTCTCACTTTCCCTCTCTGTCTCTCTCTGCTGAGTGCATGTATCCTATAGCAAAGACCTAGCGAAGAAAAGGTGGGGCTGCTGGGTGACAGGTTAGGGTGCTGGATCCCTAAGGCCACCTGTGCGGCCCACGTCCCGGACCCCGAGGCCTGGGGAGCACACCAGGCAGGTGTGCGTGCTGCCCGGAATGCCAACAGGAGAAGGTGAAGGGACTGTAGGAAGCCACCGTCGTGGGGTACTCTCCCACTTCCCACTCTCTCCCCTCTCTCTCAAGTGACCACACACGCCCTCTAGCAATGTTTATTTTTTTTTAAAGCTGGATCCCAACTGATGGCATTTCAAGTTTCTGGCCTGGTCAGCCTTAGACACGCTCGGCATGCGTGCACGTGCCCGGCCACATGGGCTGGAGGAGGGGCCGGGTGTGACCAGACCCGGCAGAGGGCACGCCTTTCTTCCCCTCTCCCTCTCACGTGGGTGTGCACGTGCTCCGTTTGCCCTCCGTGGTCCCAGCCTGCTGGTGCGAGGCACGGTCGTCTGTCGACACGTCTGTGGCCGTCAGCACAGCAACGCCCCACCACGCCCCTCCTGGTGGGAGTCGGGTTCTTTCCATTCCGTGCTGTCATGGACACGTCCCCCCTGGAACAACTTCCTCCCTGTCCCCACTGGGATTACTGCCTTGGGAAAGGGAAGTGTGGGTCCTCCCCGCCTACAAAGGGCCGGGAGACAGGGGCAGCTTGCCCTGCTCAGGGCTGGGTGGGAGGCTGCTTGGGGGCGCTGGCACCAGGCCTGGAAGGCAGGAGGGGGAAAGGCCGGGGAGGGGCAGAGCGTGCATGGGGCCTGGGGCAGGAGCAGAGCTCGTGCCGCGGCTGGGATGTGT